GTTTAAAAGAATGGAAATAGCCTACTAAGTCTTGTTGCTATAAAAATTATTTTTGCTTTCATTATTCTTCTAGCTATTGATCCACTTCACATTACTTCCTCTATATTTAATAGCAATTAAGAAATCCTACTTGTTTGTTTTTAAACCATTGTCAGCCAAACCCAGATTGGAACTGTGGTAAGGGAATTAACAAAGCACCTCTAAGACTTGAAGGTTGACAACAAGGTAGCAACTCATGCACAAGATTTATCAAAGAAAATGAAGTCTTTGCCTGAACTTGTCTGGCCTTCAACAGGGTTCAAATCAAGTAAAATTCTAATTTTAACCTAACAGCTGCTGTCTCTTTTACAAAGCTTTTATTTGCATAACAATTGGATCCTCTTTCCCAGACCTGTAAATCTATTCTAGCCAAATGCAGATTAAATTGGCTTTGCACTCTCCTTTGAATTTACTGTACCCTGGTCCAATAAGGAGGAGTAACTCCCAGAAACACTGGAAGTGCTTTTATACTATAGATCCTTGTGTGACACTGGAACACAATACTGAGCCTTGAAAATATCTGCAGAGAAGGGTGCATAAAAAGCAGTGCAGGACCATGGCCTTGCTACTTGATAACTTCCGCCAACGAAAGCTCCCTTTTCAATCAGGAGTCCAAATAGGGAGGCTTTACCATCAGTAATCACATCAATACACTGTATCCCAAGCCTCTGACCACCACAATGCCATTTCTTACAATTAAGACCATAATTTCATCAAACTCTATAGAAACCTCAAGTAATCCAGAGAAGGTGTCTTGAACACCACCAGGCAGGCAGGGTTAAGTGCCTCTACTGGAAACCACTTGTTTTAATCTACTGGCTGGATTACTGTGACTGCTTCCCATTCCCACTGCTAACACTAGCTCCCATGGGCCATGCCATTTCACAGAGTCACAAAAGATAAGAACTGAGTTCATAGAAAGTCATTCATAGTAAATAAACTCAAGAGATACCAAAAGAGATGTTTTGAACATTGCCTATTGCTACTCCTTGAAAAAAACACAAACAATTGATTTTGAAAATGTAAAATTCTCATATAATAAAAATGAAGCTTCCCCATGTAGTTAATAAGCCATTAGGTTATGGAGAAATCACTGACTACTTGACAGTTTCCTGCTGGAAGACTATACTTCCCACCTTCTCTTGGGGCCAGGCCAAGCATTTCCAAAAAGGAGGGACTACAGTGTGATAGCTGTTTCCATCCCTATAAGTGGCCACATCCATGTCCTTCTGTAGTCATTTCAGCCATCCCCACACATGGGTGACAAAAATGCCCTTTCACCATGAATAAACATGGTCCCACCTAAGGTCAGACGAGGCCTCTCTTTCCGCCTTCTGTCTCCCTGTAAGTTCCTCAGTAATAGTAACATATGGTGCTGAAACCCAGGATGAGAAATCTGAGCCTACTCTCTGCTCAGTCTCACCCACAGAAAAACACCCCTGGTGCTCATGCACACCCTAGCCTCAGGAAATTTCTCTCAGGCAGTCTTTTGTCTTCATTCTCTGTCTCTGCCATCCTTCTATCACTTTCCTGTGTCGCACAGTCTGACTTTCTAGGCAGGAGGCCACACTACACTCAACCAGAAGAGGCATGCAGCATAGTATAAAGCCAAGACAGGGTAATCTGTTAGACCTAATGCAGAGGTGCCCTGATTAGTTCTGGGTTCACTGAAGCCCCATCTGTATTGAGATTCCCTTGGTGGAAGTTTTCATGTGGTTTCCGCTGGCTAAGACTGGGTGAGAATTCCTGGAATTCTCCACTGGCCAAAAGCAGAAAACTCCAAGACCCTTCTGCTGACCCTGCCATCTTAGGAGCTAGAATGTGTAAGGGCAATGAACACCCTCCATCTTTCTGTCCTGCTTGGTCAAATCTAAGATTTGGGGAACACTGAAGGTGGCTGGATTTGACCAATGTTTTTGCCTTTGTCCTTCAACCACCTGAAGTTTTCTGTTCAATTGAAACTGGCTACTTTCCTCCACCTCTCAGTACAAATCTGGTGCCATATATATTGTACAAATGGCCACTGCTGCCCCAAATTTGGAGCTTTCAATTTTTAATGTCTAAACTGATATAAAGAACTCCACTCCATAAGACAGACTGGCAGCATGGTCTGAAACCTACTGCCCTATGAAACTCCCAGCTCATGAGTCTGTTAAGGCACTGGCTCACAATTATACCCAAAGACAGAACTCTTCTTCCTTATGCTTTTGGCCTACCTGTGCTTCTGCCTCTACAAGCTGGAAAAATCCTGATTATATCTTTACCATTCCAAAAGTACTTGTTATATCACAGTATGTAAGTATGGTTTTAAGAGGCTGTATCAGAATCTCTAAGTTAACCAACTCAAAAAGGCTGTGAATGCCAAACAAAAAGTTAGCTTAAAGTCTGTAACAAAAAAAGAGTTAATAGTAAAATGTCTATGTACAGGTAATCTTAATTTGCTGTGTATAGCATACTATGTATGCAACTTGTATTCAGCTCTTGTTTAGGAAAAATAGACATTTTAAAAATAAGTAAATAAATAAAAATAAACAGGGGTGTGTTATGTGGGTTTGGAGTAAATTAACCTTGGAGTAAATTGCAACTATGTGGCTTGCCACCATCTTGGCTGATTATGACCTAGCAGCCATGTGACTCAGTCACCATCTTTATTAAGGTGACTTCAATGTCATCTTGGTTAAGATGACCACATGGTATAAATCAACTAAGGCAGCCCCCATAAAACTTCTTAGTTATACTAGCTCTTCTGCTTATCATTGTGTTTCCATTTTTTAGTCTAAGGAGGCAACACAAAAACTCCAAGCTAACCAAGCATAACATATGCCCAGGACCCATCACTGATTATTGTTTCAGTCTCTGTGAGCCCCTATGATCCCAGCTTAGTTGATTCTGTGGGCTGTGTTCTCCTGGTGTCCTCAACCCTATGTCTTCTACAATTCTTTCTCCCTTTCTTCTATGGGGTTCCCCAAGCTGCAAGGGGAGGGACCCAGTGGAGATTTCCTTTTGTGTGTTTTTTGGGGTTTTGTGTGTGTGTGTGTGTGTGTGTGTGTGTGTGTGTGTGTGTGTGTGTGTGTGTGCCTAATTTTGGCTTTGGATCTCTGCAGTTGCTCCCATCAGGGAGCTGAATGAAGCCTCTCTGACAATTGGGTTTGACACTGATCGATGAATATAGTAGAATAGTATTAGGAATCATTTCATTGACCTTTTAATTTTTATTATTTGACCAGTTGTCAAGTCATGTTTGGTTCTACCATTCTACCATGTATGACATCATTTGCATTATCTGTTAGCGCGGGAATATTAAATAAAATGGAAGTGTAAGAATTACACCTTTTCTCCACATTCTCACTAACTCCTTCCTGGGGTGGCAAAGTAGCCCATTGAGAAACTTTTAAATATGTATGTCCATAAGGAACCACACTCTCCTATCTCATAGCAATATCAAATTGACTAAATGGCTATGTTTTGAAGCAGAAGAGCTTTAGGCAGACATGGACAGTTTAATTTTCTCCCAATTTCCCTTTCAGTAAGTTCAGTATTGTTATATAGAAAAGCTACTGATTTTGTTTATTCATCTTGGATTCTGCTATTTTGTTGATAATGTTGATCAGAATTAAAGGGTTTTGCTGTTGTTGGCGGTGTCTTTAAAACTCAGAATCTGCTAGTGGGGATATTTTGACTCCCTCCTTCCTATTTGTGTGCCTAGTTTCCTTTCCATTGTCTTATTGCTAAGATATCTAGTATTTTATTGAATAAAAGTTGAGAGAATTCCTCTATTCCTTCTATTCCTCCAGATTATATAAGAAATACTCTCAACTTCTTATATTTTTGCTCCATCAATTTAGTGTGCGTGCATATATGTGCTCGAGTGCGTGTGTGTGTGTGTGTGTGTGTGTGTGTGTGTGTGTGTGTGTGTGCAAGTGTGTGCACACATGCATATACCATGGCACGTGCGTGGAGTTCAGAGACAACTTATAGGAGGAATCTGTTCTCTCCTTCCACCATAGAGGTCCTGGGCATTGAACTCAGGTCATCAGGCACCTTTATCTATGGAGTTAATTTGCCAGCTCATACTCTTGTTTCTTTCTCATAAAATCCTGGCCCTAAGTTTGCTTCGCAGACTTTTGTTGAGTCATTTGACACCATTATCATGGGGGGATATTGAACTGTCAGTTTGTTGAATTCTTTAAGGCATGAGTTTAAATTATCACATAATTTCTATCTTAAGTATATTTTATGTACTGAATTAAACTTCCTGCTCTCCATATTTCAGTATCTTTGGAGTCAGTAGTTGGGAGTTATGACATTTTGAAGTTGTGTTTTGTGCTGCTTCATGCTGATTGTCTTTCTGCATTGAGATGTGTGTGCTTGTGGTTGCGACATCTCTTCTGATTTTATCAGGGAATCTTCTTACTGGAAGGCCTACCCTTAAAGGCTGATAGATTAAATAACTGCTTTTGGAAGAGGCCTCGACTCCACCATCAGAACAGGGCACTGCAGCCTGTTGGGCTTTGCTCTGTTTCCTGTCTTTTCCTAGGTTTCCAGGCATCCTTCCACTTCCTTCTGAGACTTGTGAAATTCTCCCTCTCCTTCTGTCTTTGGAATAGACTCTTGTTTTTTGTATTCTGACACTGCTCTACCAGATTCCATGGGCAGCTCCATCTGATCACTTTACCTGGAAGTCTTTCATGATTTTCTTTACTAGAAAAATGTTCCAATTTATCCTTTTATACATCAGTTCTCTGTAGAATATATCATATTTGTGATTTGGCATTAAATATAATTATTATAAAATACCTGTATGTCTCATCATATAATGTAAGCACCACAGGGCAGAGGCTGGACTGATTTTGTTCAGATAGCACTGTCACTGCATATAGTAGTTAACAGATGTAAAAGTGCATGGAAGACCGAAATGACTGCCAGAACTGAGTTAACTTTCTTCTGCTTGATTCTCTTAGGATCGGGTAAAAGGAACAGCCTAACCTCCTCCAGACTATGCTTTCACTGTACCTGACTGCATCTTGAGCAGAGATTTCTAAATGAAAAAGGAAGTGCACACTGGTAAAGGAAAGGGGACACAGGAAAACCGTAACACTCAGAATACTTGGAAATAAGGTAGTGAAATAAGTGGTCTTACCTACACAGGGTTTATGATGTAAACTTGGGTGGGGGATGGAAACACAGAAAATTAAAAAGGTAAAGCTCTCAAGGTTGCTGGTGGGATCACTAGACAGCTACATTCAGCTCTAGAAGAGAGCTTGAGAGTATATTCTCTTTTCCTCTGACTGAAGACATACATAGCCTTGAACCACTCTTGCAACTATATACCATAAAAATCATGTTAGTTTTTCTTTCACAAAATTGTATGAGCATGTTCACAAAAGCATTGAAGATGTTAGAACACCAATATATCCAAAAAGAGTACCACGCATAATTGTGGGATAGTTACATCAAGGAACATTACAAAGGCAGTTATCATGGACCAACCACAACCAGAGGATGCAGCAGAGGGATGGCACAGATACCATGCTGAACTGAAGAAGTTAGGCAAAGAAAAAGCAAAGACTTGCTCCAGGAGGTCTTTTGCATAAAGTTCAAAACACCACAATGTATCAAGAACCAGCATAAAAGGCTTTGGGGAAATGGTGATGGAAAGAAAACTTGAAGGAAGTGAAATCTTGCAAGTGGACCATGCTCTCCAGCCACCTGCTGCCAAGTCATAGATTTTCATTTGGCAAATTTTTTCATATAATTTATGCACTTTTCTGAATGTTTGGATATAAAAATTCTTAGCATTTTATGGTGCTCACATTTTCTGTTTCTTTCTCGATTTTTATTTTTCATACTCTCCTGGAAAACAAGTTAGCCATGCCATCTAAGATTTCAATTTAATGGATAAAACTGCTTGCAACAGCATCTTTCAGTGTTAACTCTTGACTGTGTGTTATTGTTCATCTTGTCAGCTCATTTGAATTGAGAATCACCCAGGAGATGAGTAATCACACATCTCATGTGTCTATAGGGAGTTCCCAGAGTTTGCTAACTAAGGCAAGAAAGCCCGTCCTGAGTCCATAGACTGAGTGCTGAATGGAAAAAGAAAAAGACCACTATAATAGACACTGCTTCCTGGATGCTGTTCTAGTCACCTGAGATGTTCTAGTCACCACACCTTTCTGCCATGCTGAATGGAAGTCCATGAAACAGTGCTCAACCATTAACCATGAACAGACTCAGCTGGATGCATTTATATGCGGGGTGTGTGTGTGTGTGTGTGTGTGTGTGTGTGTGTGTGTGTGTGTGTGTGTGTGTGTGTGTGTACAATAATAATTAAAGAAGAGTTTATGGGCTTGAGTGGGAGTTGGAGGGGAACATAGGAGTTGGAGGAGCAGAGGGTGGAGTAGAAATGATGTAGATATAGTACTTGTATATGAAATTATACCCCCAAAATGAAAGATAAATAACTGATGTAGATATAGTACTTGTATATGAAATTATACCCCCAAAATGAATCCTTTCTTTCTTTCTTTCTTTCCTTTCTTTCTTTCTTTCTTTCTTTCTCCTTTCCTTCCTTCCTTTATTCTTTTTTGATGCAGTCTATGTAGTCTCACTATGTAGACAAAACTGATCTCAAACTCATGAAAATCAGCCTGCTGTGGAGTGCTGGATTAAGGCATGAATCACCACACCCTGATCCTTCTTCCCTTTAAGGCAGCTATTTTGTGTCAGTGATGAGCATGATCAATACTCCAGCTGCACACAATCCCTCTTGCTTTCTTAATATTTCATTTTATTTTGTCTAAATCAGTAACATTTTCAAAGGCCAGCATTGGTTTCACTGGACATATTATTATCTCCAATTATCAGGTGAGTCAAAGGAAGATAAGAATCTTGCTTGTAATCACACAGGTAATCTGAGGCTGATGTCCCTACCAGCGAAGTTGCTACTGCAGGCAGTAACTGCAATATGTATTATTGCTTCTAACAATGCATAAAGTCAGATGCATACACACATAAACTCTGAGCTTAGTCTGGGTTTTCCTGTAGAAAAAATGGGAGAATTAGGAATTTAAATGATCAAACAAAAATTATCATTCTATAGTGCTTACAAATACTTATGATCAAGGTATATTAACAAAATTTTGTTCCTGGTAGAATTAAACGAATGTAAATGATGAAAAAATTACATTCTGGTTTCTGTTTCTGGACATTCTCTTAGCCTTCACACGCTGTTCTCATTCCCACAGCCACCCAATCTAGAGAATGAGGCTTTTCCATGTTGAGACTTCTTCCACTTTTTTCACCCTAACTCATTTCAACTCATGAAAGCCATCTCCCTAAATACAAAATTTGCTTTCTGTGTGTATTTGTAGAGTTCACCTATGCTTGTTTTTCTGAATATGTCTCTTTTGGTGATGAAGATGTTCCTTGATGTCTGGCAACTAGGCATTGTCAGGTGGATTAGTGTTAGGTAGAACACTGGCCACTCCTATGTATTTTTCTCTTGTCAGATTGACAAATCTTCTTCATTGTCTTTGAATACAAGCATATAATCTCTTGCTATCCATCTGCGTATTGTAGACATTTACTACTCATAGTAAATAATCTACGTTGAAATATTCTAAACCAAAAGCATTCTTGAGGTAAAATAATAAAAGACCAATTATACTGGTTTCTTGATTTACTTAGAGATTTATTTAAATGTTTACTAGTTGTACTGCTACCTGGAACAGAATACCTGGAGGGCTAACTGAAACAATAGGCCATTGCCCTTAACAACCTAATCAATTTGGCCTGCTTGCCCACCCCACCTTATGATTTTAGAGTAGAAAATGAGAGTGCAAACCTGACCTGGTACCAAGGCCTTCAGAAGCCATCCTGGCTTTGTTCTCTTGGTGACATTTCTTTTCCATTCTCATTGATGCCAGAGTGCTTATTCCAAAAAGATTCCCATGGTATTCTCTCTGAAGAATCCTGAACAACTGAAGGTTTAATAAATATTGAGGATTATAGTGACCTTTCCCAACACTCACTAAATGCCATAAGATGCCCAACACATGTCAAGAACTTAGACTAAACAAACCATCATGCAATCTAAGCGCTCCTTATTCACAGCACTGAGAAACAGTGTACAAGGATGACTCAGACTTGAGCATAACAGAGGAAAACAGCTCATGTTAGAATCACGTCTGCTGTCCATCTCCTACTCATATTAACTCTGGATAAATCATGCAATCTAAAATTATACAAATAAAAACTGCACGTATTTTTAAGCTCACAAAAAATAAAATATCATGAGGGATATGAGAAGAAAAAATCTTAAATATTTAAAGACATTGAATATTAGAGTTATCAGGGAAAATTTTACCTCATGATTAAATGTTTAAAGGGGAAAATGTTGTGTGACTGCATCTACAAAGAACAAACCCTGGAAAGGTGTTTGGAAAATGAGCTAAAATAACTGTAGAACTAACAACACAGTAAATGATGGGGGATGTCCTTCTGTATATGTGTTTCTTTTATTGGTTGTTGAATAAAACACTGTTTGGCCTATAGCCACTAAGAGCAAGAAGATAGGGGGGACTAGGAGATGAGGAGAATTTTGGGAAAGGGAGGCAGGGGAGCCTGCCAGGAGTCACCATGTAGACCACAAAGGAGTAAGAGGTCCAGACCCTTCTCCTGTATGATAAGACCATGTGGAAATACTTAGATTAATAGCCAATAAGAAGCCCTAGTCATTGACCAACAGTTTTAATAATTAATATAGCGTTCATGTGTTTATTTGGGGCTGAGAAGAGCGGGGGTGGGGTGGGGGGTGATCTGGCAGGACAAGAAAACTCCACAGCAGTGCTCTTTTAAACACAAATGCACCAAACAGAATAGTGAGAAATGGGACAGACAAATCAGGAAAAAAAAATCACTATGGATGTCACCCTGTCAGCCCCTGAAAATTGTTTTGATAAGTCTGCTGGACACTTTAGTCTTTAAAAATAAAATACTGGTGGCAATCTCATATGGCTTTTGCCAGAAAAGTACAAATATGACATGACTTTATTCCCAGGCTCCAAAACCAAAGCATGACAGGAAAGAACAAGTGTAAGAGATTCTTCATGGGCAGCAATATGAACATTAAAACAACTATGAACAAGCTACATCCTGACCTACAGAAAAGAAATAAAAGCATGAGCAAGTTTACCTCAGAACCATAAGGCTGGATGGATGATACAAAATGTGTGGATATATACACAGATATATATGTACAGAGAAAGAACCTGCTTAAAATAAAATTTAGCAAGCTAGAAATAAAAGGGAACTTTCTAATTCTAAAGGCAAGCTACAGCAAGTTTATAAAATGAAGTGTTGAGTGCTTCCCTCTGCATCACAAATACAATAAAGCTGCTAGCAAACTCTGCTCTATTCTGTGCCCTATCCAAAAGGGAAAATCAGAAATCAAGGGCAGGACAGAGCTGCACAAGCCCAACTACTCAGTGACCTGATGTGGGGACAACAGTTTCTACGGATGTTAATTGTCTCCCACAGAATATTTTGCCATATATTAAAGGCTTAAAACTCTAGGAGGAAATATACAAGAATATGATTATAACTTTAGGGTATAGAAAATTTTCCTAAATATAGAACAAAGATATTAATAAACTAGACTGTGAAATTTCAGAAACTTAAATATAAAATTTCATTAGCATATATTCATTGTGCATAAAGACATTTTCATAGAAACATACATGCATGTTCCATCTTCTCACTCTTCCCTCTAATTTCTTCTCTCTCTCCCTCACATTATTCCCCAGACATTCTCACTTCTACTTCCATGACCTGTCTATATATGTGATTTTATGTATACATGTAAAATCTAGCATCGACATGATAGAAAACATGAAATATGTGTCTCTTTGAGCTTGTTTTGCTTAATATGACAGTATCCAGTTGCATTGCATTCGTTTTCCTGAAACCAAGATCATTTCATTTTTTTCCTTTGTGGCAGAATGAAACTCCTTTGTGCATAATACATTTTCTTTATCTATTCATCTCTTGATGGACACCTAGGCTATTTCTGTAACTTGGCTATTGTGACCAGTGTGCCAATAAACACAGATGATTAATTGACTAATTTACATTCCCACCAACAGTGTATGAGCTTCTCCCCCACCTCCACCCATCTTTACAGCATCGGTTGCTATGTGTTTCTTTGAAGTAGCCATTCTGATTGGGATGAAATGGAATTCCAGTGTTGTTCTAATTTACATTTCCCTGCTCACTAAACACATTGAATGGGTTTTCATTTGTTTATTGGCCACTTGAGAACTGTCTATCATTTCATTAGCCCATTTATTAAATGGGTTGTTTGGTTTCTTGATATTTAGACTTTTAAGTCTATTTAAGGCTTTCTTTGTACATTCTAGATACCAATGCCCTGTCAGTTGGCAAAAATTCCCTTCCATTTTGTAGGCTCCCTTCACTCTGGTGATGGGTTCCCTGGCTGTACAGAGGCTTTTAAACATAATTCCATCCCATTTTTCCTCTGAGGATTTTCTCTGTATTGTTGTGGTCCCTTTCCAAAAGTCCTCATTGTGCCTTGAAATGTTTCCCCCTAGCAATTTGGAGTTTTACATCCTGCACTACAATATTTGATCCATTTTGAGTTAATATTTGTTCAGGTTGAAAGACGGTTTCATTCTTCTACATATGGACAAGGTTTGCCTAGTGATAGAGCACATGTTCAGCATGCCTAGGCCCTGGGTTCAATCCCGGACTCAGAAAAGAAATGATAAATAAGACCAATTGTGAGGTATAAAAGGAACGATCATACAGTTAAAACTTCAGAACTTTGCTTATCAAGAGCTTGCAGAAATTTATGTTTCAATAATAGTAGTAGAAAGGCAGATCATAGCCAGAAGAAAAATACTTAGAAAAGAATGTCACTGTCAACTGTAAAAGGTTAGTATTGCGTGCGTGCGTGTGTGTGTGTGTGTGTGTGTGTGTGTGTGTGTATTCCAGAATACAGATGACTCAACAGGAAAATGAAAACATTAATTCTAGGAACTGACAAGCCTAAAACACAAATAGCCAAAAAGCTCACCAAGAGCATTCAGTTCATTAGTAGCTTAAAGCTAATTAAAAGGCCCCTATAATATCTAATACATCAGTTTTACGTGAAGCATGTCTAGCAGTCTCACAGCTGGTATACAGAGAATTCAGAACCCACAAATACCCACCAGTGACAGAAATGACCAACAGAAGTGGTTTCACATTCACACCATGGAATAGGGAGAACTGGACAAGTTTTTGCAAAGCATCTGGGGGAAATACTTTCAATTTTACAGTGGAGCAAAAAGAAAGCACAAGAGAATACACAGGAATACACTGTATTCCTTAAAATGTAACTGTACAAGATAATTTATAACCTAAAATTCTGAGAACCATTAATTGGGGTCGTGAGGCGAGTAGGAGCTTGCAGAGGTATCTATTTCTGGGGAGTGTGTGAGGATTCTACAAAGCAAGAGTTTTATGGGAGCAGTAGAATGTGCTTTCTCTCCCCATTGCATTTCTTGAGTCCAGCAGAACTGTAGGGAACATGCTGCTCTGCTAAAGGGATGCTTAACTGAATTAAAGATTAACTTCTAAAGAGTGAAGATGGCAGAGCTGGACAGTTTAGCTTTTTCCTAGAGCTGACTTTACAAAACCACTGGGTTGTCTAGGGGACTCAGAAGATGCTAGTAGACATCTTGACAAAATAGATTAAAATTGTTGCTTTGGGGTTTGTGATAATCATATTTAAACATGAAATCGGACTTCAGCCCACATTAGAAAGGTAAAAGTCTAGAAAAGAAGCATGGAACTTTTAAGTTGGTTAAATCAAGATCTGCTACACAAGTTTGTCATTTTCTTTGTTTTTAAGAAAATAGTTCACAAGTTACAAGTTTGGCAAGTGTGGTTAACATGGAAGTAACTGAGAGTGTGTGCACTCAACTGCCCCCTACCAATTTGTCTCCAATTAGAGAGAGGCGTCAAGTGAACCAAACGTTAGTTAGATCTGAAGTGTGGGCAGAAACCATTATAATCCACTGTACATTTGCCAGTTTTCTGATTTGGGGATGCTATTATCCAACTTTCCTGCTGACATGTTTATATTTTATATGTGAAAAATATGTATTTGCATGTCTATAACAGCCATAACCCACACTATATATTGCTCCCTGCTGAGTTTAATGGCATGTTTCCAACATGTGAGTAAAGTCTTTAAGTTATAAACAACATTCAAAGAGACTTTTACTTCAACCAGATTCTATGCTTTCTTCTTCTTACTTGCCTAGGACGTTTCTATATGATTTAAACCAGTCACCAACAAGGAAGATTTATTTAGAGTGAAAATCATGTTTTAAAGGTCAAACATATTGCTTTATTTTTAACTATATACTTGCCACATCTCCAGAATTGCATACAAATAAAATGTTGAAGACCCTGCACATTTTTATAAAAATAGTCATGTTTTACTGGGTGAATTGGCAGAAACATGGAGAGTTCTGAAGGGCTACTCCATATTCACCCCACTGACTGGTAATGAACCCAGCTCCTGGACATGTTTAGGAAACAATACAATGATTAAGGGAAATTTAGTGACATCTTCCAGGAAACTGGCTTTAAGAAAAAGCCAGCATCTACAGCAGATTCCACCTTTGATTTGGTTTTCCTCTCAAATGCAGGAGAAGAGAGTACTGTGTAGAATGTCTCTAAAATGGTGACCATGGTTGTTGCCTGTGTATAATGAGGTACATTATATACTCAGTAAAACATAAAAAGAAACCTTGGTCTCAGATAATCTAAAATTGGGCCACATAAGCAAATTTTCCTTATTTACTGTAGGGCCCATCAAACTGCACCTGTATAGCATGTTAACAGCTCTACTTTTTTGATGGTCAAGTTGTTTCTAGATCAGCTTCTGTTTGGGTGTGGGTGGTGGTACTCATCTATAATACCAGCACTCTGGAGGCTGAGAACAGAGGTCATTGTGAGTCTGAGGCCAGTGTTGTGTACATAGTAGCTCTGTTTTTTAAAGATTATTTTATTTAAGGCATATTATTATATATTCAGTGTTGTTTATACTAAAACAAATTTGGGGGGGAATCTAAAAGGAGTAATTTAATTCTGAA